GAATCATATACTGATGCTATTATCGCACAATTCCTCTATTATTCTAACAGCACAATTTATATGGTAAATTCTTTGAACTACAGTATGAGGAAAATGTATTAACATGTTGTTTCCTGCTGAGTACATACGTTCCGACATCTTGGTAATGATAATGTTGAAATTCAACACATTTTTTTTTTTTTTTTACTTTTCGTGAGAGCTAGGATCTCATTTAGGTTCAATTGATGTACATATTTGTGGCCTAAGCATCTTTATTGAATGTACAAATGTAATCTTAGCAATCCATTTACATGTATGGCTCATAAACACATTATTTGCAGTTTTCGATTTAGGGATATTATGAATGCTTAAAAGAAATCAAAGGACTGTCCCTTTCCTTCAAGTAACCCCAGGAATCATCACTTCTTGTGCTTTGCTAAGTGGTATGAACTCCATGAAGATAGTTTTTAACCCAAAGACAAACTGGCTGTCTCCTTTATTTCACAAAATATATTTGGACATATAGAAGAACTTTAAACTGGTATAAACTTTATATGTCTTAGATCTCGTCTCTGTAAAATACAAATCACAATTGAGTTTTTATTTATTTTTTTAACTTTTAGAGTCAGGGACAAACCAAAACAATTCAGAAAATAAGGACAATGACAAAATATTGAACTGACTGATGAATTAACATCCATTTAAAATCATGAACAAAATATAGAATTTTAGCATATCTTGCTCTAAGTCTATTTAAGCTAAAAATATGAATCTCAATCATTGATTCCTCATCTAGCTAATATGTTTCTTTCTTTTTTCTATTGTTCTAAATTTTCTTCTTATATATAGCAAGTGATGTAAGGTATACATCAATTAATAAAATTTATAAAGTGAAATATCAACTACTATTAAATACCATTTATTTCTCTTCTCTAATCAAAATACCTTTAACTATTATACCCTTACCTATTATGCCTCATAGAATATGCATGTTCCTGCAAGCAAACTTGTTGATTGCATTGCATTAAAGTGATACTTATTTCTGTCATTTGTCTCATAATTTGTAAAGTTTTTATTGTACACACAATCTAGTTTTAATAATGAAGAAATCTTGTTCACAAAATTTAATAGCATATAAATGTATGTATTCATTAAAATTGATAAAGTGGTAAAGTTAATAAAAATTTAATTTAAAGAATTCAGCTTTAAGTGGCCTTATGAGACAAACTAAATGGAATTCTCTAAAAGTGTTTGGGCTTTATTTCAAAATTTTTTATGCATGGGATGTGTAGATATTAAATTTCTAAGTACTTAATTAGATTCTTTTCTCAAAACTTGCCAAATACCGATAGAAATCCATACTTATGAAATATTTAAGACTTTATCATGTGGACTAAAATTACGAACTACATAAATGTCTCCAAAACACTGACATTATGGTACAAGTTCCTTATTAAATTGCAATCAGGAAAAAACCATGTTTCCTGAAGTTAGATCCTCATAACATTATTAAAATGTTTCTTTTTCTCTGAAATGTAAAAGTCACAAATTACTCTAAATTTAGAGAAGTAAAATTTATTGAAACACATTTAAATACCAAATTAATTAATGCATTTTAAAAAGTTTTAAGATACATTATTATCTGAGTAGCTTCAAAATTTCCACAATTTTTGTGTATAATGTCTCATCCAAACATTTCATTTACATTCACTTTTCCAATAGTGCACCTATAAATCATGATATGTAACACTGGTTGTTTTTTTCCTTTTGAGAATGTGCAATCACAGAATCCCTCTGTAGGTTCTAAGTGGCTAATTTTTATTAACCATGTACTTACGTATTTTAAAATATTACTAGTAAGTGTTTCAAATATATTCTTGAGCATATCACAATTTGTTGAATAAATCTTGAAGAAAGGAAGAATTTATGTCAAAAGCATCTGAGGACACAAAATGTAAACAGCGGGAGGGAAAGTCTACGCTCAGTGTTGTACAACAAGGTTAACAAGAACTTAAGGTGAAACTGGGGGAGACACCTTAACAGGCAAAGTGCTGCAGATGTAGTCACAGATACAGAATCGTCAGCATAGTGCTTTCAGAGGGAATAGCATTCACAGTACAGCAAACAGCCTATTTCCACTCCTACGGAAACCACTGAAGGGTAGGTGGAGGAACTCTGATGGAGCCATTACCAGTTTGTTCAGACCAATGATATAAGAGCAAGTATTGTCCTTATCCAATAAGCAAAGCACATTCTTATCATATGAAGTACTTAAAACTGTGCCCTGGGCACTAACTAGTTGCAAGAATGATTTTGACAGAACATTTTCAATCCTGCTTCTCACTACAAACAAAAATGCACGAAGCCCCCTCCCACTCAGAATGGCAATTTTTTAACCAATACTAACTAAATTACTTGTTCCAGAAATACTCAATTTTTCTATCAATCACCTCAGAGTAATAGTGTTAGTAATCAACAAATTGTACTTTCCACCCTACAGTTTATTTTCCTCACATCAAAACACCTAGATCAAAACAAAACTCAGGATTTCCTCGAATGCGATATTCCATCTTATTCCTACTTAATTTCCAAGCAACTCAAGTACAGTTACTTTCAGCCAAATTATTCACAACAATCAACTCAAAATTCCCCAGTAGTCCAGGCTGTAGTTCAACTGACAGCTGAATTATTGATCTGGCTGTGGTACAGCCCTCATACTACATGCTGAATGATGTCTGCAACTGTCCTTCCAATGAAGTGACCCATCTAAATACATTTTCATGAGGCTTAATGCTTATCTGAGGAAGAAGGTCATCAGAATCGATGTGTTCTACAGTCAATATTCTAAGACACACCTGCAAATACTTTACTAACAATGGCATCCCTCTTGACAAATATCCCTTTATAGTGTTCTCTATGGGACTTGAGCTAGGTGTGTGTGTGTGTGTGTGTGTGTGTGTGTGTGGTGTTTTTCAGAAAGAATAAAGAAACCAACTAAAGTTCAAATTCTAAATTTCAGTAGCAAAAAGATATATTTAACATTGGGAAGACTATCCCTACTAAACACCAACACTGCTTGCCAATATACAAAAGTAGCAACGGATAGGTCAGATCCGCATTTTATGAACTGGCTAATCTGTTGTCTTGTAATCCAATTATTCAAAACATAGGCTAGGCGATGGATGTAAATTTTAGTCTGGGCCAACACAAATGCTCACACAACTTGTGACTACTTAAAATCGAACAACATGTCTACTAGAGTAACAAAATCCATTTGACAAAATATTACTCTGCTATAAGTAAAACCAGCAACTAATAGAGGTGTCACAAAGTGTTGCTAACGCATGCTTTAAATAAGCACACAAGCCTGTTCACTTTGCAGGAACATTCCTACTATGATAGTGCGTTTACCTTTAAGTTTTCAAACTACAAATGTGATGATTGTTCAATATTTTCACTTTTATGAAATTCAAACATACGAGAATAATCAATAAGCACAACTGAACTAGAAGCAAGAGAATAATTAGAAGTAAGTGTTTCAGAGATATTCGCAACTTCAAATTTAAGTGATTGACCAGAAACAAGTGGGAGCACAGATTGTTAATACCTACTGACATTTATATGTCTTCCAATGTCTAGTGTTGTCTTTGGTTCTTCTCCCCATCTACTGAGACTGTAAGAGCATCTTAAGCAATACTTGATTAATTAACCACTGTGGAAGAATTTATGTGAACTTAAACAATGTTCCAAACATATCTTATGTTTGCACTGATGCAAGATATTGGTTGTGTAAGTTACACTAGGACAAAATTCAAAATAACAAATAGAAAAAGATAAAAAGTTCACCTCCTTCGCACTGCTACAATGTATCCTTCTCCAGGACAGTTGAACTTGAGACACAAACATCATTCTATTTTTCATTTTGGGATTGGTATGAACATAGAATTATGTTATTACAAGAATAAAAATAATTCTTAAAACTGAAGAGGGAAAATATGGCTCTCAACCTGGTATAAATATATTAATAGCAATTGTAGAAAAGAGTAATTTAAATTCCCTTTTCTAACTGTTTTGAAGAATAAAAGAGCAACATGATTCTTTATATTGAGAGAAAATTGTAAATGACATCCCTGTAAGTCTGCAGTGTAGGATACAACTTGGATAAAAGTTTTGATACATGTTTGATGAAACTTTTTACAGTAAAAAATTCTTTTTTGGCTTTGTCATGTCACTTTAACAAAATCTGCTAAATGAAGAATGATGAAGTAATTTTACTTACGAAATTGTAACACCACTATACCATTATATTTGTAGTTTATCTTTGATTACTTGTCAGGCTATCCTACAAGTTATTTACAAATAATATTTCTCTGTATGGTTTTCAAACCCAAAGATTTCTGCATTGGTGTTGTAACAGGTGTGAAAATAGTTCATTTTATTCAATTGACCTTCTGTCATTTTGTGAAATCATTCTGCGATTTTACACATTCCATTATTTAATCAATTATATTGAAAGAAAATAGCTTTAATCGTAGCAGATTTTCCAACCCCTCATCCCAATTGGAAAAAAAAAAAATGTCTATATGGTGAACAATCATTGCACACACCCAAGCCACACAGGTGTTCCGGAAGATTACATAAACTGTTCTCTAGCTCATGGCAAATCTCAGACACCTTTCTATCACTGTAAAAAGACAAAAGTAGAAGGAAAAAATTGTCCATAAACTAACTCTTCTTTAGTAAAACTTGCTATTTTGTTTCGTAGTTTCATGCAGCCAAACCAGGTCATTACAGTTCTCCACAAGGGAAATAATTATATTACCTGTTTATTTCAAACCTTAAAATCACACTTGTCCATCATAAAATATTCTGAACCATCATAAGATTCATTCACACCATAAATATGGCAAGGTCACAGAACATAGGGTGAAACAACGCAAAGCCAAGCCAAAACAAGTCAAAACAAAGCTATCACGTACTTCAAGAATCAAAGAGGAAAAGTATGAGAGGGCATGTCTTACCAAGCACTCCAAGTCGGTAGTTGACGGTGATGACGATCACATTGCCATAGCTTGCCAAGACACTGCCATCGTATAAATTTCCTGTACCCTCCATGTACGATCCACCGTGGATGTATACCATCACGGGTTTGGGACCCCCACTGTCCCGAATATCTGAAAAACAAATTGTCGGCATTGTTCTTATCCTCAAACAACAAACATAATGAAGGATATATTTCCCAATGACTATTTTAGGGCCAATAGAGCACGATTTAGATATGCTCTTTACATTGCTGTTTTTGTTAAAGTGTTTCTTAAGCAACTCACGTTATGAGCCATTGCAGAAAAGAGCAACTGGCATCCATGATTTTCTGTAAGAAAGGTTTCTTTATAAATCATAAACTAAATTACAATATTTGGAAAAATATATAATGGGATGAATTTTAGCACATTTTCATAGATCACTGAGGTGGCAATAAAAGTGACAGAAATAATAGTATGAAAATCACTCTTCGTGCTGCTTTTAAAAAGTGTAATAGACCTCATATGGAATTTAAGAATCATAAACTCAGGGCAATTAAATCATTGCTATTAGAAATTAAAAACCTGTTTTTTTTGTTTTTTATTTACTGAAATGCTTTCTGTTCAATGCAAATGGTTACGTTAAGTCATTTATGCTTACATTTGTGAACATAATTCTAGTATTGTATTATTCATTGCACAAAGTGTTGCTTCATACTTGAGAGTGCTGTCAGACAGATGTTTTGGTAGTAAAATTGCTTGCATCCTTGCTTTTGCTTTTAGTGCTTTTCAGGGAATGACATTTACATAATATTATATGGGAAGTCTAGGCCATCGACTTCACTCATTCCACGTTCTACGAACTCTACCCTTGTGAAAATAGACAAGATACACACACACACAAACGTATGTATATATAATCCTTGTGTGTGTGTGGAGATATATATATATATATAAAATCCTTTGGTGTAGATAATATAATCTTCTTAATCTCATTTCTGCTCCTTTTTTTCTTTTATGTAGATAATGCAATAGAATGTAGCTTAGGTCAAGTGCCAAAATTCAAGGTAATGTTAAGGTAAGTTTTCTTTTGCTCTGAAATTTATACAACTAGTTTTGTTTTTCTAAGTTTCCTTTTCCTCATGAGGTGCTTTAAAACAGCTAATGGAAATAAAGCTTAATTATAATCAGTATTCAAAATCCACTGATTTCTACAGAATAAGATGTCAAACTGTACATGGTAACTATGATTTTAACTATTTGGTGGATTGAATACTATTGTTATATACACAAATGGCTATAAACATGTAAGACATTATTATATAATAATATGATATTTTATATATTTTATATTTTATAACCATATTTTACAACCATAATTAAAGCCATATTACATTAAACCTGTTATCTTGCCTCTTACATTTAATTTAATTAAGGGCTATCATTTAAAGGTATAATTTGTTTCCTTTGCAGGGGATACCTTTTTTATGAAAGTAAATTATTCCATATTTTTACAGCTTAGGTACAGTTTTTGAAATTGATTCATTTGATATAAATTCACTGAAAGAAGTGGTAATTCTTTTGAGGTTGCTGTAAGTTTCCTGTAGGAAGAAAGGCTAATGTGAGTGTTTAAGTTCTTCTACTCCAATGTTAATGTGGATTTCATTACATGAAAAGTCATTTAAGGACCAGAAATTGCAACTTGTGGCCCAAATTTTCAAATTGGAATAATGTCTTATTGCTAAAAAAGGCTAGTGTAAATCTGGTTTGATATGATTGTATCAACTTGAGAAAATAGCCTGATTTTGTTGTTAATAGTGAGGGGATGATGCTTTGACAGAGAAATAATCAGCTAGTTGCTTAGAAACTCGTGTTTTTTTTCCCTTGAATCTTTGGAGGTGCAAATGGTATTCACTCATTCGTGACGATTTTTGGTTTACAGGTTTGTGGAGAGCTGTGATAGAAGTAAAAGAAGTTTTCCATTAAAGTCGGTCAAAGCAAGTACCTGAAACGCCTATTTACTGTGTGCAGCTTTACCTGCTTATTTATTTATTTATTTATTTATTTATTTATTTAGTGCGGCTGGCAATGAAACAGCAATAATGAATTATTAAACTGAAATCATTAACTGCCTGTTCACAGCAGACACCAGGCTCTGCTAATTGTACGCTTGGAGGTAGCACAGAGGGCGGCTGCTTCAGAATTCTTCTTTAATTAAAATTACATAGAATTACAAATCACCAACTGTGAACAGTAATGAGATCTTGGTAAAACCATTCTGTTCACCTGGAAAACAATAGTGGAACACATCGAGAAGACCTGAAGCATTTTATACTAATAACAGAATGGAGTGGACATCGTCAGGAAACACGGAAAATATTAAGGAAGATTCTAGGAGGCTCTTTTGAGTGGGATTCCTTTATTCTTTATGAAAAGTAGGCTTCAAGGATTTCAGATACTTGGAATTCATTCTGATTGCCACACGGTGTTTTCAAACTTCTCAATGATTTAAGCCTTCATAAAGAATTTAATTTCAGAAAGCTCTGTATAATTCTGATGCTATGATCTCAAAAATAGGTATTTAACTTGATATAAGGCTAAGCTTAATGTTAGAAGGAATATTAATTACTAACATATGTAAAATTCATGGATGTAGCAGTATTTTCATTGCTTACAAAGTTGAGAAACTAGACACTTTCTCTCGCTGAGCAACTGAAATTTTCAATGTTTTATCAGAGTAGTTCATCCTAGATGTGAATTTTTACCATATTTTGTCTCAAATTTTCTTAGATTTTACTTATCTGTGTAGGCTACAACTCTTTTTGATAGAAAGTATCAGTAACTTACAATTATTTATTTTGAATTTAAAAATAAATAGGATGATTATAATTTAAAGAGGCTGAACTTGAATGCTCTCTAATCCAAACATCATGGTAGTAACAAAGCCAGGGAGGTTAACCATGTATAATGCAGATGCATTAAACAGATTTTGGTAATTTATAATGAATGTTTTATATCTAATTTGTTTCTCTAAAAATTATTTAGCCACCTATAGGTCAAAGCAAGTGAACTCTACATTTTGCTTAAGAATACTGTCTAAAAAATCTGTCACTGAGTTTCTTAAGTGATCAGAATACTGTTAGAAATTTTAACTCTAGGGTCCGGTGGCATGTCCTAGCGGCTAAAGTCCTCACCTTGAACGTGCCAGGATCCCATACGGGTGCTGGTTCTAATCCCGGCAGCTCCACTTCCCATCCAGCTCCCTGCTTGTGGCCTGGGAAAGCAGTCGAGGATGGCCCAAAAGCCTTGGGACCCTGCACCCATATGGGATACCCGGAAGAAGTTCCTGGCTCCTTGCTTCGGATTGGCATAGCATCGGCTGTTGTGCTCACTTGGGGAGTGAATCATCGGATGGAAGATCTTCCTCTCTGTCTCTTCTCCTCTCTGTATATCTGACTTTCCAATAAAAATAAATAAAAATCTTTAAAAAAAAAAAGAAATTTTAACACTAGCACTTGAGCTGAAACAAATAAAAATGTAAATGTTTGCAAAACCGTTTCACATTTTTTGATTAACACTGCTTTTATGTGTTGTTAAACACATTCATTTCTGAAAAGTGCAATGATAAGGGGAAAAAGTAACACAGCTGTTTTGTATGAGTTTCTAAAAAGGATATTTTGTATGAGTTTCTAAAAAGGATATTTTCAAGGAAAAAAGGGATAAACTTGGAATCTGAGTAGACGTTTTTTTTTTGTCTTTTCTTAATAAGATTTACTTTGTATTGGAAAGGCAGATTTACACAGAGAAGGAGAGACATGGCAAAAGATATTCTATACGCTGGTTTCCTATCCAAATGGCCAAATGGCTGCAACAGCCAGAACTGAACTGATCCGAAGCCAGGAGTCAGGAGCTTTTGCCAAGTCTCCCAAGTGAGTGTGGGTGCCCTAGGATTTAGCCCATCCTACACTGCTTTCCCAGGGAGCTAGCTGGATGGGAAGCGGAGCCCCCAGGACATGAAGCAGCACCCTTATGGGATCTCAGGACTTGCAAAGGGAGCATTAACCAATTGAGCCATCACATTCAGCTGGCTTCTTCATTTTAAATGTATTTGGATTTTCTTTTCTGGCAGGTATCAAAAGATCAAAATAACAGTAGGGCTTTCTCTGTGTTAGTCAACCAAAGTGTACAATCACAATTCCTTTTAACATTCTTATTTACTATCATCACAGTAAGTGTGTTTACTGGCTTCTTACCTCTTCAGGGACTGTGGAAATGTTTAAATTCCCATATTTTACAATCTTTGGGATTAAACAGTTTTAAAATTGTGACACACTACCACAGTGATATTTTTCATTTTTCGGAGCCACAGTTGTTACTCAGAACCACTATGACAATGCAGAAACGCTAGCTGGAATGGCAATTGTTCATTGGACTGGGCAAAATCAAAAGTGTACTTTGAGTGGAAGAGTAGATAAACATCTACAGAAAAAAATAACTCTATGCAGGATATAAAATTGCACTTAAATATTAAAACATTACTATTGCAATATTCTTAGCATAATTTAAAATTACAAATACACCTTTAATTTAATGGTAGAAATCTAGGTGGTTGTTTGACCTTTTATCGATCAATTCAAATTAGTGTGTTAATACTATCGAAATAATGCACGAAAAAGTTAGTTCTCCTTTACTGTGAAACACAAATGAATGATGATACAATTCTGTCTGGCCAGTGATTGCAGAAATGGAAGTGAAGGAGAGACATGAAGTCTTCCATTCAGGTTAGGGAAGAGAAACTCCAGTCAACCTCACTGGCTGACTAGAAATAGGTTAGCCACAATAAGGAACTGGACATCATAGTAAATGCACAAGAACTGGGAAATCATCTAAAGTGGATGGAGTAGTTTATCAAGTAATTGATATGCTTTGTTTTATGAACACTGTTGATTTAACATTTGGAGCAGAATTGCATGTGAAAACTGGATTCAGTTATCCTTCATACCTATATCAATAACTGTAAATGAAACGCAAAACCAGACTCTTAAGTGTGTGTGCGTGTGTATGTACGTGTGATTTGAATTAATCCTTCTTGTACTTACACAATTATCAAAAACAGCACAGAGGAAAAGATCCAAGTGCAACCGACTGCTTTAACATTGTATACTTTTGAGAATTGAATGATGCGATGGGATGGCTTATTTGGATGCTATCTGACGGTTTAAATAAAGGCTTAGGATATTTTTGATGGCTGTATAAAACTGTTCAGTGTGCTTGAAAACAAGTCTGAGAAATAGGTTGAAAATCACGAGGCTTAGCCCAATGTGGTCATTCAACAGGAATGTATCCAAAGCATTTGAAAATGTCTGGATACTGTTTTACTAAGAGAAATAAAATTACAATAAATTAGCAATCAAGGCTGTTTTAAATAGGAAAGCAGGTAAACTAACCTTGTGACTACTCTGGGAAAAGGAGGAATTGACAAAGACTCTGTGAATTCCTTTAATGGTTCAAGAGTCAGATACAAACATGTAAGACTTAGAGATTTTCAGAGGGTTCAACAGATTTCCAAGTTGTAGAAGCAATCTGCCTAGAGCTTACTCATGTGAAGCCTTGTGGCTTATTACAAATAGGCCTGTAACATTTCAATACTACAGATTTCCAAGAGTATTTTTAGACTGATAATTTGAAATGGATTGTGTAAGGTTATTGTTTCTTAGCATTCAAAGTGATAACTTTGTGGGAACTATACTGTATGTTGTTCATCTATTTAGTAATCAGTGCTTTGTCCAAAATTTTCAATCTGCTTCTGAGATGAGAGCTGATCAGTCTAAAGGAAAAAGTCATAAACTCAATGCAATTTAAGTGTTTGTTCCAATAGAAAGTATGCATAACAACTACAAATTAAGCTTTTAGTGCTTTTTAAATTTTGTAATGTGAAGTAATATTCAGATACACATATCAGTGAATGAAACACAAACTGCCTAATGAAGACTAATTTACTTCTTGAATTACTAGCCATCATTACCAATTCCTTGAATTAAAACTCAGGAAACTAGCTACTCTGCAGGCCTGATTGTAAGTTATTTTGGAAAATCTTACGAATCATATAATTAATATGTTGATTCACCTCTGTCTTGGTTTATGAGAATCATTTTTAAACTAAGGGCTTTATTATCTTTCTCTGAAAGAGTTACATAACTCAGGTACAATCAAACAAAGACAAAAATTACGGCCCCTGAATGGAACCCATATGAGATGAAAGAATCAATGAGCCTCTTGAGACACTCAATTTAACATCAAGTAAAGGTTCAGTGGAATGACAAACATCGAATCAATGTGCTGAGTACTTAGGATTTTCAGGGTCAATCAGAACTGTATGTTGTGAGAATGTTGCAAAGAGAAAATTTCAATATTAATGAAATAGGACATGTTTTATTGCTTAGAGTTAACAACTTTTGGAAAAAATAAAAGTGGGTTGTTTGGTAACCTAGAAATTATGTCCTTCAAGATTTTAAGCATATTTGATAATCATACTTAAAAGAATAGCTGTAAGCTCTACCATAAATATTATTATGAACCAGAGTATTTAAGTGGTCTCACAATGTTTAGTCATGATCTACATAGGTGAAATGCCTTTTTTATTGGTAGATTTTTATTTTATTAACATGATAATGAAGCAAAGAAAACAGTCCCCTTATATTTTAAGTCTCAAAAATATTGCTTAAGAAACACTTTACTTCAGCTCATAGTTTGTCCTTCATTTTATGGAATGTGGGATTCTTTTTAAACGAATATCAAATGTAAAAATGAAACACGTTTTGATATTGGTCAAAATAGTTACATCGATTAGAAAACATGCAAAATGGCCACAGAGAGACTACAAGGGAGAGATTGTTAGTTCAAAGATGTGGACAAATTTGTCAAAACGTGGGATGAAACAGATCAAAAGTCAGTTCAAGAAAGCAAAAAAAATATGCCCCTCATTTTAAAACATCGCAATGGTTGGCATCAAAATGTGAAACTTAACATTCATTTTTTTAAAAAAATTATAAATGTGTATTTAAATGTAACAACAAGCAAGAAGACAAAACACATCCAAAACGGGAATTAAGAACAACTCTTCAAAAAAAGACAAGAAGTAAAAAAATAGTGGTGGAAAAAGTGATTGAGGTCCTCATCATGCAAATAGATTTCTTGGAAAAAAAATACCTTCATCTTCAGCACCGTCATTATCACCTAAATCATCTGTCTGTTTCTTTGTAAGGGGACCTAGGATTGAGAATGGAGAAATGGAGGGAAAAAAAAAAGACAATTCAAGAATAAACAAGACTGAGGGGGAAAAATAGCTGTAAATACTAAAATTTTCAAGGATATTTCCAAAAAGAATGGGGAAGTAGTTACATCATAGTTGATTAGCTATTTTGCGTAAGAAAAAAAGTTACATTCCCCAAAATATCATAGAAAATCTAATTTTTAATATATCATGAATTAAAAATGCATCAAGTAATAAAGAAAGATTTAAAAAAAAACCCAGCGTATACAAAAAAGTAAACATTTATTAGTTGAAATAATGTATTCAGTGCTTTCTCTAACTTAAATTAGTGACAACGGTAAAGAAACCAGGTCAACCTCATTCCTTAATTTGAAATAATAAAATATCATTAGTGAAAACAGTTATGAGCATTTTCATATTGTTCTTTTATTTCTTTGTAAGTGACTTTAACTCAGACTTTACTAATTTTAAATTCATATATTTTTTCAAACTGTGACTTTTTAAAATTACTTGTCATTGCACCGATATTTCCCCATGTACTTGCATTTAATATTAGCTGTGGAACTGAGGCATGTGCACTCTGCAGAAATGTTTCAAGAGATAGCCTCAGATTTCTGCCCATGAAAGATGGCATCAATAGAAGTTATCAATAGTAGCTAGTTACCATGTCATGGTTTAGATTTCATAATCGGTTTAGTAATATAATGAAAAGTCTTTGTACAATTTCATGGCCAGTGTAGCTATGTGTAGTAAGATGTTTTAAGAGAATAATTGTATTAAATGCTGAAAATATTTAATAATTGTTCTATTATGGTTAACAATGCCAATTTGCTACACTGGAGGAGCATACCAAAGGGGAATTCAAAGGCCATATGAAAGTAATTTTAATTGTCACATTAATTGACACACTCGGCACACAAAAAAGCAGGAGAAACGTCATATTCTCTTTTTGTTTTCACAACCATTGGACTTGTATGACATAATCTTCATGCAGAAAGCAACCACTACAAACACAGGACACTCAGGTTAACGGACAGCCAACCACATAGCAATAAGCAAGAGTTTTTTGGTCATGCATCAAGTAGCAGTCATAAAATAAGGAAGAAAGAAAAGGATTGAAAATCATGTGTTGATTTCAATAGCATCGTAATTAAGCATTAACTCTAAGCACACTTCATAGGAAAGATTGTTAAACATTTTGATTAAGACTTCTAGGTCACCTCAGAGATTACTGTGCATTTTATTTGCGATTCAATATTAAATCCTGTATTATTATTTGCAGAGAATGAAAAACACCATCCCAGAAAACAAAAGGAAAAATGAGATCTAATACAGTATTAGCTCAGCAGCTCGGCGAGCAGCCTTGAAAATGGTAACATTAACCAGAAATCAAAAGACTGGAAAAGTAGAAACCGACGACATAATTGAGAAGACCCATTTTTGCCTCATAAAAACAGCATGGTTTTAAGGTCATTCTATATACAGACCAGCAACTATACACAGCGATTCAAGTGGTATACTTTTATAGTTACACCTGTAAGCAATCATTCCATTAAGAGAAAGTCTGGATGAGAGTAATAATGTATGTTAATTGGCATCCAGATGCATGTTCACAGAAAAGCATATGCCTTTCATAAGACCTTGTTTATATGCAAAATCTATGCAAGATAATTTGATGTTCACACAATGAAGTTGTTATACTTCCAAAAATTTGAATATCTTTTAGAGTTCCAATTTTAAAATCACTGAAAGTGAATATTGTAGTTGAAGTATTTCCAACTCACATATAATTCAACTCACTAGATAATGTAATAAGTTCTTACCTAAAAAATGCAAATTTACATTTTTCCTCGTGTCTCTTTTCCAGGATATATACAAAAGTTATGGTTTTACATATTGGTTAGCAATGTAAATTAATAATAGGTGGAATTTATTAATGTGAAAAGCACCATTTAATTTTTTAATTTTACTTTCTCAAATCACTTAATCTGCCCAATTTCTTGTTTTGGTGAAGACATCATTAATGCGAGATTTATTTTTTTTTTAAATAATTGTCAGTCCCTAATATTTGAAGGCACATAGAAAACCAATCACAAATCATTTTCTTCAATTTGTTTAGGGCTTTATGAGATATTTTTTTTGGATGACGTAGATAGAAACATGTTTCCCTTCTTAGGGCCCCTGGGGGGGATTTAGATTATTTTTCTCAGAAATCAATCAGGTCCTGCAAACACTGAGCTAGCAATTTTATATGTGATACATGTATCCAAAATGGGTCATCCTTGTTCTAAATGTGATGGTAAGTCATGCCCCTCCCACTGTTTTATGTGCATGCATAGGTCTTGATCACAATTCCAAAATGGATTAATATTAGCAGAGAGATAATTGAAATTATACTGCACACAAAAAGAGAGTTTTTCAGTGAAAGGACTGTTTCATTGAGTCTTCTGCTGTATTATTATCATGGTTCTGAAGAATTTGAGTGGCTCTAAACCAACATAGGGTAGCTAGTAATGACACAAAGATATTGCATAACAAAATCTTTACTGTCCCAATTCTGAGGGTTGGATACGGATATTACCTGAGTCTGTCAAATTCAAGGGAAAATATTTACCCTAGAAGTCTGAGTTGAACTCTCTCACCTGAATTCTTTCATTTATGGAAACTAAATAAAACTCAGCTGAGATTAGATTAATCCTACGGATTTCAGAAGTATTTAAAGAATCCGGAAGAATCGGGTGTTCTTAAAATCAAGAATTTCTGGTTTATATCAGATACAGTAGATTCCCTGGGAAGAAGAGAATCAACATTTTTGGCAAAATTGAGGCAAAGAAGAATGAAAAGAGATTTCCTTTATTTCTCTAGCAGAACTGAGAATAAATATCTATGTGTGTCTAGGGCTGCAGGTGGAGGACTCAAATCATCAAAATATGAAGAGAATTAGACTACTAAAATGTGACTGTGGAAGTGATTTATTCAGCTTTGAAACTACTGGGTTGCTCCTTCATAAGGAACATACAAGAGTTCAATTAGATTTAATTGGAAAGTAGAGACCTCTTGTCACTGCAAAGGTGTGAATGTAATTACTATGTTTTATATCTCCTACAGGCAATAAATGGATTTAGTGGTGAAACCACAGGATTAAGCAAGGTATGGGACATACCTAGCTTCGAACTATGAACTCACTCAGCACTAAAATAGTTCCTCTGTGATCATTATAAGCATAATTCAAAGTTTAAGTTTTACAGAGCACATGTACATTTTGGACTCTGACTCTTATTTTTTTTAAATAGGAGGAATAAAATTATCAGTATTTCTTTGTAGTTAACTGCAGAATAATTATGAGCTCTGAAATAATTACTATCTGCCCATATTAACACTGTGTTTTATCATTCCCTTTGATGAAGGGCTAATATACTTCAGGTCTCAAATACATTAAAACTTATTATACATTCCTTTATTAAGATTTCAATTCAGTACAAATTATCCATGCTTTGTATCACACATATTGTTAAAGACAGGTAGGTTAAGGCTATTTTTAGCTCTTGACTTAAAAAGTTGGCCATGAAGGCCAGGTGCAAGAGCCTACTGGCTAAACTCCTTGCCTTGCATGTGCTGAGATCCCATATGGAGGCCAGTTGTAATCCTGGTGGTTTCTCTTCCCATCTAGCTCCCTGCTTGCAGTCTGGGAAAGCAGTCTAAGGCAGCCCAAAGCCTTGGGTTCCTGCATCCGTGGGAGACACGGATGAAGCTCCAGGCTCCTGGCTTCAGATCATCTAAGTTCTGGCTGTTGTGGATGCTAGGGAAGTGAATCAATGTATGGAAGATATTCCTCTCTGTCTCTCTTCCTTTCTGCATATCTGACTTTGCAATAAAAATAAATCTTTTAAAAAGAGAGGAAAAAAATAAAGAAAGCTAGCCTTGAGAATGTGTCCTTGTGGGAACCAGCCTCTGAAATGCTAAGGATGACTTGGAGCTGCCTTGCTAACCAGCTTGGGCCACCCTTGCCCCACCCTGTTGACCCTGCAGCCTTGGAAGCAAGTGACTACAAAAAGTTCTAAAGGCCATTTCCATACAACAGGAGGATTTAAGGACATCACTGTTGTGCTAAAGCAATTGGAAACGAGCAGAATAACTGTAGGGCTGTACTCCTTTGGGACAGAATTTAGTTCATAAATCTTGGATTAAGCATATGAACATCTGTGTGCGTTTCACATACATGAAAAACCTAGAATTCAATGTGTTCAAAAAACAGTGTACAAAGGTGCTTCACAAGGCTTTTGGAAAATGTGCACTGAGAAAAATCTATGTAGGCATTTCAATTGTTTCGGCCAAGAAACTTAACTGTATTTGCCTGAGTTCTTTGGAGCCTCTTTTAGATGTGATTTTTGTTAAACTGTCATAGACTGAAATACAATGGTTTTAAGGAATTATGTATTAGTGAAGCAGATGCCATTGTAAAGCTATTTAATTTTAGTCATTGAAATCTAATTGAAATAGAATAAGTACATAACTCCTGGGAATGCAGAAATGAGTTAATTGACTAATTTGGGATAATATTCATTTGACATCTTTTTAACAAAAGCATAGTCACTTTTCATCAACCATTAAGGAGAGAACATTTCAGAAATATATGATACCTCTGCGCCAAGTTAAAATATAATCTCTATGATGAAGTACTAAAAGTAAGCTTTAAAATAATTGAAAGGATTTGAAAAACAAACAGCTTCTCTTTGTACAAGTCTCAGTGCCTATAATGCACCTTGCATGATGATGTCTGGGTGCAACGCGTGTGAACTGCCTGAACAGCCAGCAGTTGACTTGGACACATGCTTTGGAAGGGCTCAGTTTTTAAGGGTCTGAGGCAGCAGGCAACAGTCTATGTGTATCTTTGTGTTGGAAGAAAACACCTACATGGCCATAAAATATATTCCCTGAGGCAGGTTCCAAGAGGCAGAATACATCTAAAACCTGACTTTTGTAACAGGAGTATCTG